ATTATTCAGCACAGAAGGAGGGCATTCGGTCCATCGTGCCAGTGCCGGCTCTTTGAAAGAGCTATCCAAATTAATCCCGCTCTCTCACTTGTGGGACAGAAGTTTGTGGGTTCAAACCCTATGTAAAGGGTGAGATTCCAGTACAGTGCAAAAGCACCTCATTGCCATTGGGGTAAGATGTTAAACCGAGGTCCTGTTCAATTGGATGTTAAAACATTTTGTGACAGTAATAATGAAATATCTTTCAAATCGGGAGGACATCTTAAAGCGCTCCATAGAATTTACTGCAAAGTGTAGTGACTGTCTACTTTATAGGCGAACATGGCGGCCAGTTTGCACATCGCAATGTCGCACAAAGAGCAAAGAAGTGATTGATCAATTTTATCTGGCATGATTATTTATACTGCAGTGCCATGAGATCTTTAACGTCCACCTGAACAGGCAAAAGGAAGTTTAATGTCTCATCCAAAGAACAATTTTCCAAAAATGTAGCTCTTCAGTACTGTATGGAAATGAGTTCAACGTTGCAATGTGGGGCTTGAACCCACAACCTTCTGCTATCAACTGAGCCAGACTGACACCTAACACTAATTGAAAAGAGGTCTCCCAGGGTCCTGGCTGATAATAATCTTTCAGAAAAATGATCACTCACTTCATGGCAACTTGTGATGATCTTGCCTTGCACAAAACGGCTGCTGTACCTGCCTATAAATTCACAGTCACTACATTTAACAGTAATTACTTGTGAAGCTCTTTGAAATATTGCAATGAAGTAGGCGCTGCATTGAATGGGAGGCTGATTATAAACTGCAGAAGAATAGAAAATGGTCAAGAATCAGCTGCACAGCTTCTCATTGCCTCCAGCTTCGTTTCCCCCCAAATTGTTTATATCTCTACAACCTAATTTAGCCGATTGTTCCACAACATCTTTCACTCCTTAAATAAAAAGATTGGTGCTCACACACGATAATAATCCTTGCATTTGATACCGCGCCTTATCATGTCGTTAAGACATCTCAAAGTGCTTCGCAGAATATATTGTAAAGAGTAGTGATGTTTTGTGGGTGAAACAAAGCTGCTAATTGTGCACAACAATGTCCCACAGTTGTGAACTGAAAGACCATTTTTTACTTTGGGGTGGAGGGAATAATACCTCTTATAAATCAGTGGAGTCCTGTAGCTCAGTGGTTAGAGCGAGAGACCTGCGTTTGAATCCCGGGCAGGGCAAAACGTTGGGCAAGTTTCCTTACTCCACACATCTCTGCTTACGAAGGAACCTGAGTAGCGTGCAGTAAGTAGGAACCTGGTCGTAGGTTGATTGGCCGATCACTTTTCCGGGGGGAATAATTCCTTAAAAAAAAATGTCACTCAATCCACGACTGTTTGTGAGACGCTGCTGTGCACAATTGGCTGCCACGTTTAGCCCACAAAATATACAGTCAATTCACTTTACGTACATTCTGTAAAACGCTTTGAGACATCTCAAAGACGTGATAAGGCGCCGTATTAAGTGCAAGGATTATTATTAATTTATTTACCTTTGTTCTACATTCCTAGTCTAAGATGCAAATCCCCAGCTATTTGTGAAACAATCAATTGAAGGGGATGAGAGGCAGACTCATGCATGAATTTTAAATTTTTTGTAAACTTTGATTCGCAATAAATTCCGGTTCTGCACATTCCTGTGTCCTACAGTCTACAGTCATATTCCGGGTCTGTCACAGTGATGTACCCCTCCCTCAACGCTGTTTCTTTCTCGTCCTTCTTCCAAGCCCAAATCCTTTTACACTACTGCTCATTCTCATCACTGTTCTCTGCATCAGCTCCAAATCCTAGATTCCTTATGCTTTCCAGTGTCCAGCACAGGTATCTGTTGTGGATGCATATCTTTATGCTGTATAGCCTTCCTTTGGATGAGTCGTTAAATCGAGGTCCCGTGGATGTTAAAGATCCCATGGACTATTCGAAAAGAGAAGGGGGTTTCTCTCTCCTGATGTCCTGGCCAACAATTCCCCCAAATATAATTGGTCACTTACTACATGGCTTTTTGTGGGACGCTGCTGTGTCACTCCACTTTACAGCATATTCTGTGAAGCGCTTTGAGACGTCTCAGTGACATGAAAAGGTACCATATCAAATGCAAGGATTATTATTATCCCGGACTCACATGCCGTACAATTCTTGTGTGCATCTCAGTATAGCTCCCGCAGATGTGTACTCTACTGTTATAAGGTATAAACCCCGGGAAATTGTGTACTCTTTCTCTGGTGTGTATCTCAGTATAACCCTCGGACAATGCTTTGGCTATTTATCTGCGTTATTATTCTGTTTGTCTTTTTAATTCTGTGCCATATTATCCAGGTATTGAAAGATATTGATATCTGCCAATCCCATCCTTTTCACTGTTCTTTTACATTGCACATTTTTTTGAGTGATGTGCAATATTTTACATTTATTGGTATTGAAATCGATTTGCTGCTCTTCCGGCTAATTATAGAACATTCCTAGAAACGTATGTAACTCCTTTACTAGTTCCTGTGACTAGAGCGGGGTGGGTAATGTCCAGAATTCATACTTCTATTACCTATTCCGTATGGAGAGCAGACAAGTGTGAACGTCAGGCTGGGGCTAGAACTAGCTTAGCCTGAAATTCTCCCCTTTTAATCGAACAGTCTGCTGTTCCCACTGTCTAGCTTCCTGCACAAAGAATACTCAATAATAGTTTTCTTTTCAATAAAATATAAGCTTTAGCTCTCTCAGTTTGAAAGGCCGGGGTTGTGACAATAATTTATAAACTGGCCTTAAAAAAAAATTGACTGCTTCCTCCCGATTGCTGAGAGGAACTTGATCATTTATAGTAATAATAATAATCGTTGCATTTGACATAGTGCCTTATATCTTTGAGATGTCTCAAAGTGCTTCACAGAATATACTGTAAAGTGAATTGACTGTATTTTGGAGGTGAAATGCAGCAGCCAATTAGCCAATCTTTTATTTTGTGGTGGGGGGCATAATATCTCTTATAAATTTAAGGAGTCCTGTAACTCAGTGGTTAGAGCACTCGCCTCGCAAGCGAGAGACCTGCATTTGATTCCCGGGTAGAGCGAAACGTTGGGCAAGTTTCCTTACTCCACACATCGCTGTTTACCTTAAGCGTAAGTAGGAACTTGGTTGTCAGTCGATTGGCAGATCGCTTTCCCAGGGGTAATAATTCCTTTAAAAAATGAATCACTCAATCCACGACTGTTTGTGGGACGCTGCTGTGCACAATTGGCTGCTGCGTTTCCCCCATAAAATATACAGTCAATTCGCTTATAGTATATTCTGTGAAACGCTTTGAGACGTCTCAAAGACGTGATAAGGTGCTATATCAAATGCAAGTTATTAGATTATTATTAAACAGAGGTCTTGTTTGCCCATTCAGGGAGACATTAGTGATTCCTAGACAATATTGGAAAAGAGAAGAGATTTTCTACTGGAGTCCAGGAGAATAATCCTCTGGATACAGTAAATTAGTAATTCACTTCATGGCTCTTTGTGAGGTCTGCTGATTGCAAATTGCTTGCTGCATTTGTCTACAAACATACAGTCACTACACTTGAACAGCAATTACTAGTAAAAGGCTTTTGAGACATTTGGATGTTACAGGAGCAAGGATTCTTAATAAGGCCCTATATGAAATGCAAGGATTATTATCATTACTATAACATTTTCAGTGTTAATCATACTTTGCAACTAAGATGTGTGACATGTAGCATTTGTAATTTCGGAGCCCGCCATTGATTTTCATCCATCAATTATTAATACCGATAAAACGCGATACTTCCACAGTCAAACTATGACTTATTCATAATGTCACAACACATGTCCTGTGGTCACTGTGATTGGCGCCAATCTGAGTGCTCAGATCAGGACGTGGGCAGGGAGTCTCCAGAAGTGTGGCTGTGCACAGTCAGCATAACAGCAGGACCCAGTCCAGTGGAACGAACCCAGGACGTGTGAGCGAGTGTCTGAGCAACGACTCCCAAGGATACAATAACAATAATCCTTGTGTTTTTCTGAAAAATATGATTTCCCCTACAAAATACAGTCACTCCTACCTTGCAGTATAGTCTGCAAAGTGCTTTGATATGTCTGGAAAGTGCTATATCAAAAGCAAGGATTATTATTATTGCATTTGAATCGCAGTTTGAACATCTTAAAGTGCTGTACAGATAATTGCTGTCAAGTGACTGTTTAATTTTAGGCAAAAGTAGCAGCTAACTTACACACAGCAAGGACTCGTAAACAGCCAAGAGGCAGATAACCAATTAATTGTTGGCCAGAACTGCAGGAGAAATTCTCTTCTCTTTTAATAATAATAATAATAATAATAATCCTTGCATTTGATATAGCGCTTTTCATGTCGGGAGGACGTCCCAAAGCGCTTCACAGAACACACTGTAAAGTGAATTGACTGTATATTTGTGGGCGATCGCGGCAGCCAATTGCGCACCGCAATGTCCCACAAACAGTCGTAGATTGAAAATGACCAATTTATTATTGTTTTGTTTTTTTGGAGGGTTTATTATTAGGCTCTGTGTGGAGTAAGGAAACTTGCCCAAGGTTTCGCCCTCTGCCTGGAATTGAACTCAGGTCTCTCGCTTGCAAAGCGAGTGCTCTAACCACTGAGCTACAGGACTCCACTTTTTTAATAGTGTCTCAACATTAGGCAGAAGCGATCTCAGTTTAACACTCATCTGCCAATGCTGTGCTCCCATCCACTCAACCAGCACTATGCTCAAGTATCAGTTCGATTGTGGGTTCAAAGTCCCAATGTTGGGCTTCAATACAATTTTGTGACCGAGACATTAAAGCGAGACTGACTGAACCAGCTGTCCATTTGTGCCACACAGAATTCAAATCATTGAGTCCTAAATCAATAATAGTAATCCTTGCATTTGATATAGAGCCTTATATATAACATCCAAATGTTGACTAACAACCAGGTTCCTACTTACTGCCAGGTAAACGGAGGCGTGTGAAGTAATGAAACTTGGCCAACGTTTCGTCCTGCCCAGGAATCCACCCAGGTCCTCTCGCTTGTGAGTCAAGTGCTCTAACCACTGACCTACAGGACTCTACAATCTGAAGTTCAGAAGAGTGGCACTGGAAGCATTAAGCTCTCTCTGTTTCAGGTGTTGATCGATCTGCTGCATGCAACTCTAGCACTTTCTATTTTTAATTCACGTGGACCTGTTCTGATAATATCACACGCCATGACAGGGTGTAATCTCAGTGGAACCACAAGATTGAATTGCTCGCTTACAGCTACTGCCAGTCATTTGTTAATCTCTAGAACATACAGGACCTGTGTTTCATTTTCAAAATGTGTTGTTATTTTCCTTGTGATGTGCATGATTATCACATCGGAATTGCCAAGGCAACAGTGACGTAAGACCTGAGGGTACGTAATGTGAACAAAAAATGAGAATTCTAGCATCAAGAAAGGTCATTAGGACAGTGATGGATCTCAATACCAGATACAATATCTGCTTTCTCTCCTCACCACTCAGTCACTCTCCCTCCAATACTTCTCCTGCTGTCCCCTGAACTTACTTAATTATCCACTTTAAAGGCCTTCTCTGGGTCTCAGCTTGGCTCAGTTCCCTGCGCTCTCACTTATGGGTCATGAGATCCATGCCCCACAAGCTTAGGCTTTGTGGATTCGGTCAACGTTGATATTCAGCAATTTTTTTCTGATGCTACTCAATCCAACAACAAAACCTTTTGACAATAAAAAATGATTTTTTTAACAAGAAGAATTGAACATTGGGTCAAAGAACATAAGAACTTGCTAGACAAAAGAAGACCAAGGCGCATCCAGTTCACGTTCCACTATCCTGGCAGTCACAAGCACATGTCATATCCCAAAATGTATAAGGTATCCCAAGATATCGTTTCCTAACAGGAATCTCTTTAATTTGCTTTTGAAAGAATCAATACTTTCTGTATCCACCATCACCTACTACTCACTCACTCACTGAAATAATGCTTCCTCAGATTTGTTTCAAATTTACCCCCCTTCAATCACAACTACTGTTCTGAGCGAAGGGTCGGAAGAGGAGCCTTGAAGCCAGTTAAAGTGACTCACCAATGGGTGTCTGAAATAAGTGTCTTTTACTGAGCCAGCAGAGAAGGCCTGGGTCTATGACTGATTGTTGGCTTGCAGGACCAATGAGACCCTAAAAAACAATTGCTTGGGCTGCTGAGTGATTAGGTCGGTTGAAGGAACCGTGAGCGTCTGATAAAAGTGCAAGCTTTGGACTGATTCTAAGAATCAGGAATGGGTGTATGATTGATACAATACAGGTGTCACATTAGTCTGCAGTCATTGTAGAGAAGCCCAGAGTGTCTTATTCTGACTTTGGTTGTTTTGAGTGCTCCAAGTGCAAAAATTATCAATTAGAAAGAAAATAAAGTCATCAATTCAAAAATCAAAAAAAGTGAATCAGAAAATAAATTAATTGATTTCTACTAATCCTCCACATAATATAACATAATAGATTGTGGGCTCGAGTGCTATATTGGGATTTTGAGCTCACAGTCCAGGCTAACATCTTCTGGGTGAGATGCACCTCTGACACTGAAAACAGGTTCCTGACTGCCAGTCCAGTTGGACAGTAAAGATCCTGTATTATTGGGAAAAAAAAGTCGCTGGGAACTCTCAGGCTCGTGGACGAAGGGTCCTGCTCTGATGAACATTCATGGACCCGAAATGTTGACTCACTTTCTCCATAGATGCTGCCTGACCTGCTGAGGGTTTCCAGCAACTTCTGTTTTTGTTTCAGATTTCCAGCATCTGCATTATTTTGCGTTTTTTNCCCTATACTATTGGATTGGAGACAATGTTTTTCCTAATTTCCTGGCTAACAATCCTCCAACTATAATTGGTTATTTATCCCATGGCTACTATAAATGCAAAAGAAATTGCAAAAATGCAAGGATTATTATGGCTGTTTGTGGGGCATTGATGTGGGCAAACTGGCTTCAAATTACATTGGCTTCAAATACAGTCTTTTGACTGTATTATAAGTGCTGTATCAAATGCAAGGATTATTATTATTTATTATTATTTATTTGAGCCATTGTATTGAAAAAATCTCTCCCAACTTCCAACTCGTTTGACAGTCAGTTCAGGACTGAGGCTAATAATAATATAATAATCCTTGCATTTGATCATGTATTCAAGATGTCTCAAAGCTCTTTACAGAATGTACTGTAAAGCGAATTGACTATATTTTGTGGGCGAAACGTGGCAGCCATTTTCGCACAGCAGTGTCCCACAAATAGTCATGGATTGAGTGACCAAATTCAAACAGAATGACAGAAGTAAAACATTAGACTGACGACAATCTAATGTTCAAGGACTAACCACTGTGCATACTACTTGCCCAGCTAAAGTGAGGCAGCAGTCTTAAAATATCACCAGTAGAGACAAAAAAAAGTCTGAATAAACTGGAAAGAAATTCTCTCAAGTACAATTTCCTTCATTCAGATCTTAAATTGGTGAAAGCTACGAATGTATGCAAATGATAATTCTGGCCACCTATATTCAGCCCCCAAATCACCGTCTCTTATTTCAATTAACAATTAGCACCACTGTATTAACAAAGCACAAAATCACCCACTCAGAGCTTTTGTCAATCGTGAATTACAGGATAGTTTGATTAAAGATGGTTTGGATCAAATGGGGAGAAAGGAACACCTGTGGAAACCCATCACCATGCTTTACAGTAATCAAACCAAACTTTGACCTCACATGTGTGGGGTGTCTGTTTGTCTGTTTGTCGGGATGGTGGGTGCACTACTTCCACTCCAGAGAGACTAACCAGGAGAATTTAGGTGTTGGTCGTCAAGAGGCAAGCTTTGTGGGTTATCGAGTGTGGGTATCAGAAGCTACAATCACATTAGAACATTAGAATATACAGCACAGAAACAGGCCTTTCTGCCCAACTGGTCTATGGCGGAGTTTATGCTCCACATGAGCCTCCTGCCCTTCCTCAACTAAGCCTTCAAGCATAACCTTCTATTCCTTTCTCCCTCATGTACCTATCGAGCTTTCCCTTAAATACATCTATGCTATTTGCCTCAACAACTCCTTGTGGTAGCACGTTCCACATTCCCACTACTCTCTGTGTGAAGACATTTCTTTTAACTTCCCTATTTGATCTATTTGTGATTATTTTATATTGATAGCCCCTGGTTTTGGTCTCCCCCACAAATGCAAACATCTTCCCTATGTCTACCCTATCAAAACCTTTCATCATTTTGAAGACCTCTATCAGATCACCCCTTACCCACCTCTTCTCAAGAGAAAAGAGTCCAAGCATATTCAGCCTTTCCTTTCACAGTCTATCATTGCATCCTTCTGCAATCCTGGCTCCTATATACAGGATCACCCTTAACATTGAGTTATAATTAGAATCTTGGGCACTTCCACTTTCCTGTTATATATATATATATATTAAACATATATCTCAGTAAGTAAATAAGAATAAATTATTTCCAATAGCCTGTGAATCAGTAAATAGAGGGCACAAATTTAAGATCATTGCCAAAAAAAAAAGGCACGGTTAGGTGAATTTATTTTTACTGACGGAGTGATTATCACATGGCATGCCTGACCATAAAACGTTGGTGAAAGCAGATTTCATAATAGCTTTTAAGAGAATTAGGCAAATAGCTGAGAAGGGAAAAATATAAATTGGTGTGTGTGGGGAGGTGGGGGAGGATGGTGGAAGGGTAGGAGAGTGGACTGAATGGATTAATAACTTGTGCCCGTGAGACTATTTTGTCTTAAAATGTAATATCGCAACAAAATTGTGCTCAACTCTTCAATTCCGTTTTTTCGGTTTCCGCCACAGGCACAGACACAGTCGGCGAATGGCCTCCTTTTTTCTGCTGTTAATTTCCAGGATTTTACGATTCTGGGTATTTTATTCTTTCTTCTTATATATATCTGTAAACCCTTTACAAGGAAAAAATATAATTAACTGCAGTTTCTAAAAATCCACAGGTGATGTGCGCCAGTGACTGAGACACTATGTCACTGAATACATCAATCAATCCTTTTATTCTGCATAATCTCAACTCCTTGCACTTATTTTCTTTTTTCACTTGCTTAAGGTCTTATTTTTGTTCTATATCGTGTATTATTCCCCTGAGTTTGTTCTCAACAGTACCTCCATCTATCATTGTATTAAGCACACTGCTCTATTCTGGTTCACTCTCACTCATCACTGAAATTACATGCTTTAATTATTCATTACTTCTGATAATTATCTTTGCTAATTCTCTGTTTAGCACTCTCTCTTCTTCCCACCTCTACCTCATTCTTTCTTTCTCTCTCTCTCTCTGTTTCTCTCTTCTTCCCATCTCTGCTCATTCTTTCACTCTCTCTCGTTCTCTGTTTCTCATTCTTTTGGCTCTCTGTTTATATTCTCTTTTTCCCATCTCTGTCTCATTCTTTTCTATCTATACATTTTTAGCTGATTAAACTCTAGCAGTTACCCCAATGCATAATTGGGGGATCCCAGACCTTGGTTGTCTCCAACCTGTACCAGGATTTGGAATTAGTTAAGCAAAGGTACATCTCTCTGGGGAGAGAGTGTACATTCCATTCCAGGTACCATGAAGTTTCCATGTGTAGGTGGCATAGATATGTTAACTCAGTCTGGTTTGGATACCCTAATGGTGATGGATTTCCCCATGTATCAGAATTCCAGCTGACCAAAAATTATATATTTTTCCCATTGTCTTTTTCTCCTTCCGTTCACTGCACTGTTTCTTTCCCGTACTTTGTGAGATTTTTTGTGGTGGTTAAGGTGAGAATGGCAGCATAGAGAGGTGGAACAATTTACATTTTGTGCTTGATGCCAGCCTCCAGCCTACATGCCCCGTGGGACAGGTTAAACACGGGCTAAACCTTTTCATCTTCACCAAACTTCGGAAGAGCATCCTTGCTCGTTGCAGTACAGTGGCTGCTT